CAACAAGCCCACTTCAGCAGCCTGGACTCTACCAGTAGGAGATACGGCAGGGAAGTCAGTCTCGAGAAGACCAAGTGCTTAGTGACTGGCCCTCCAGACACTGTACAGGTGACAGTGAGAGGCACTGACCTTGAACAAGTCAACGAATTCAGCTACCTAGGTTCCCTACAGACAGCGGACTGCAGCTCTAGCAGAGAGGTCAAGATTAGGATTGCCAAGTCTACCTCAGTATTGGGAAAACTCAAGCACATCTGGGCTAGCAGTAACATTTCAACAAAAAACAAAATCTATCTCCTACGTTCTCTAGTGTTGTCAATATTCCTGTATGGGGCGGAGGCTTGGACGTTAAACGCAGAAATCACGAAACGAATTAATGCCTTCGAGATGAACTGCTACCGGAGACTACTTCAGATCCACTGGTCTACACACACTACAAATGAAGAAGTTAAGCAGCGAGTCAAGTCACTGGCAGGCCCTCTCCCCAGTTTCCTGTCACTGGTAAAGAAGAGGAAGCTGCAATGGTTTGGACATGCAACCAGAGCGAAGGGCACCTTAGCTCACACTACACTGCAAGGGAAGGCAGAGGGTGGACGACTGAGGGGGCGCCCTCGAAGGACCTGGACTAGTGACCTTAAGGAATGGACAGGACGTCCCCTGAGTCACCTGACAAGTCTGGCTGAGAACCGCCCTGGGTGGATAACTCTTGTGGACAGTTTAGTTGCCCCGACGGCAGGACAGACTGCTATGGGACCGGTGAGGTGAGGTGAGGTTATGCCTCAGGGTTTGTAACAAATCAGAAAAAGGTTTTAAGTTGTGAAGTGTTGTTTCACCTGTACAAACTCTTCACTGTGTCTTCAAGTCAACAGGTTTGCCAAGACATCATTTGGTCTGGTGTGGACAGAAGTTGGCCATCATCACATGTTTCTCCCACTCAGGACAGGGACGTCATCAGGACGGGAACATCAGGACACACCTAAATGATATGATGAATAATTAGTGTGATGCTCCCCCCCAAAATTCCAGGCAACATTGAGTGACCATAAAAGATAAAATACATGAAATCCTTCAATCATACAACCCCTTTGCTTAGATATGTTCATATAGAAAAATAAAGTTGTAAAGCATTGTCTCACCTGTATACAATCTCTTCACTTTGGTCTGTCTTTAACTTTAAGTCAGCTGGTTGGCTGAGGCCTGGTTTGGACAGGAACATCAGGACTGCTGACCCTAATTATACCTGTATAAAAGAACAATTGATGCCAGGTATGAATGGGCAACTAGCTACTAGGTAAAGATGCACTCTTGTGACCTTGTACTTTGCGTCTTCCTAGAAATGTCCTTATCATCTTGCTCTTGTGTCTCAAAATCACCCGATCTGGTCCAATCTTCTCTTGTCAGGTTCAGGCAGTAGTCTTCACGACTGCATCAGTCAGCAGCCACCTAACTACAGACATTAGAAATTACACACTTGTCTCAAATAACAAAGTAAATAGTAGGTTGAATGCAGAATTCAGATTTTTCTCACCTGAGAGTCATTGTCGGTCTTCAAATCACCTGGTCTGGCCCAATATTCTCTTGTCAGGTTTATGAACAATTCACCACTACTGAATCAGTCAGCAGCCACCTAACTATACAGACAGTAGAAGTTACACACTTGTCTCAAATAAGACCAAAAGTTGTAGGTAAAATGCAGAATTGGGATTTTTCTCACCTGATATTCCTCTTCGATACCGGTCTTCAAAACTTCTGGTCCAATCTGTCTTGTCAGGTTCAGACAGTAGTCTTCACTCCTGTATAATTTGGCAGCCACCTAACTATACAGACATTAAAATTTACACACTTGTCTCAAATAAGACCAAATAGTTGTAGGTTAAATACAGAATTGGGATTTTTCTCACCTGATATTCCTCTTGAATCTTCAAATCATCTGAACTGTCTTGCCAGGTTCAAACAGAAGTCTTCAATACTGCATCAGTCAGCAGCCACCTAACTATGCAGACATTAGAAGTTACACACTGTCTCAAACAACATGAAGTAAATAATAGGTTAAATGCAGAATTCAGATTTTTCTCACCTGATATTTCTCTTGGGTCTTCAAATCATCTGGTCTGGTCCAGTCTGTCTTCTCAGGTTCAGAATCAGACAGTAGTCCTCACTACTGCATCAGTCAGCAGCTACCTGACTATACAGACATTAAAAGTGACACACTTGTCTCAAATAAGACCAAATAATTGTAGGTAAAATGCCATATTGGGATTTTTCTCACCTGATATTCCTCTTCGGTCTTCAAATCATCTGGTCCAATCTGTCTTGTCAGGTTCAGTCAGCAGTCTTCAGTACTGCATCAGTCAGCAACTTAAAAGTTACACACTTGTCTCAAATAATACCAAGTACATTTGTAAATGGTAGGTAAAATGCATAAGTGGGATTTTTCTCACCCGATATTCCTCTTTGGTCTTCAGATCATCTGGTCTGGTCCACTCTGTCGTGTCAGGTTCAGAGACAATAGTCTTTACTACTGCATCAGCCTTCATCTAACCAATATACATAGTATTACATACATGCATACATTATAGAAAATAAGTTGGATGCTTGTCTCAACTTAAAAACTAGCAATGCACACACACACACCTTAAATATCTTTACTTTAAAACACATACCTGGACGAAAACTCTACATAATGACCATAAAAACGGGGATAGAAACAATAAAATAAATCAACCCCCTTCAACTGAAACTTTATGTGGAATACGAAAAACTCGGCGCAAAATATTTTGAAAACAGGAATTGCTACATTCAAGCATAGTCATCTGTAGTGTTTGCGCCAGAAACACTTGGGCTTGGTCATTACTATTTACTGAATTACTCTATTAAAAGCAAACGAACAAGCTTTCAAATTATAAATGATGATACATTGCAAATGATAATGAAGAACGAATTTCAAAGTATGGTCAACTAGACTTAACTAGTTTTCAACCGTTTTGTATCGCATTCATTTCGGCGCCCTGAAGCTTTGAGGCGCCCCATCCTGTTACGCAAATTTTTGGCGGGAAAAATAACTAATTATGTACACAGCCACATTCCAACAGGTGTTTTAAACCACGTGGAGATAAAAGAGAGAAAATGGTTTGGTCAATGCAGAATGTCTTTCGACAAATATAACCTCAAAACGCTGAACAACTGACTAAAACGTCATGCACATATATTTAACACTCTACAAGTGCACCGCACATTGCAAATGTTGTTGAAAACGCGGCAACTTGATGGACTTTTCTATGCCTATGTAAAATTAGGAAGGTCGCTACCTAATACAAAAATAGTTCATTTCTTACGGAATATGTTGACATGTTCGTACTAGTTGCTAAGGAATAATGTCAGCCAAACAATGTGCTGGTTTACCTGATACAATGAGCGAAGTCGTCTCCATTCGTCCATACCACTCTACTCTTCCCAACTGTTTCGCCATTTTTGTCTTCTCCAAAATTCGCCAGGTCAGGAAATCCGCATTTTCTCCTCAAAACATCACCAGAACGGCACAAATCCACAGCGAAAACTTCCAAACATTCTGCTGCACACTTACTAAGACATTCTACCGACGAAAACGTCTAAAAGTACCCTGAAAGTTGTGAAAAATCAGCCCAGAGTATTCCCGTCGTACGAAAGCGCCATTTCGAACCAAAGTTGTTTTTACACAGGTGTGCAGAACGGCCGTGCATAATTAATGTGAAGTTGATAATCTAATTATGACGACCAATGACGGCCCGTTTCGGTACCAGGCACTTATATGTGTGTCGAAGAAGGACGATAAGATTATCTAATTACGAAGGTTACTAACGTTGATGTCAATCTCGGTAAAAATGGATGAACGTTGTTGACAACTTAGGCGTACTACAAGAGAAAAGCTTTGTTGTACAACGTGAACTGTAAACATTGAGTTGTAAACTGTGGGTTCAGCCGATACAGAGTGGGGTAAAAATGGCCACTAAGCTTTGCTTCGGGGAGAGAGCAAAACCAACAAGCGTGCCGGCATGCCACAAGTGGTTTTATATCATGTTTGCAGATCTCAACATGTTTCAAGATATATGTTCCATGTTTGCACATACCGTCACGATACCCACGTAGTGCACGGAGACCGAGCGTATGATCCACAATGTCGCTGATATCAACATACATATATCTCAAGCCCAGTGTTGGGAAAATCGCAACGCCGAAATGTTGTATATCCCCAGTGCACGTGCCATTTAAAAACATTACATTAGGTCCGCGTAAGGATGGCAACCTTATAAGGTAGTAACGGTACTGAAATCTACGTCAAAACGACATGTTTTACATGGCTAGCTCCAAACAACTTAAAAGTTGTTTGGAGCTAGCCATGTAAAGTCCATTAACATTGCATGATTGTCAGTGTTACACATATAGGGAAAAACTATGAAAGGAACAACTAATAAAGGCAGAAGATGACATCAAGTTGATACTATGATAAAGGACAAGATTGACAAACTTTCAGAATCGACATGTTCTTGTGGAAAAAATAGAATTATTTTTTTTATTCAAGAGAATAACAGCCAGTGGGCTAGCTATCTGATTTCCTAATCTATTGTTTGTTGTCGCTTATCTGTGGGTGGCGTTTTGGCCCCTCTCTGACCAATTTGCCACCATATATAGGATCTACTTGGAGATTAGGTTGTCGCTGCCGAGTTACGTTGTTGTCCCCACACGGTGTTCCCGACAAGTGGTTCTGATTATCGTCTGACCTCAAGGACGTAATAAATCACCTATTCAACGTTTAACAACCAGACTGTGCAGGTTAACCAGGTTAAAACACTGAATAATTGGCTCAGGTGTCTCGCGGCAAATTTGCTATGTTCGCGCGGCAACAAAAGATGTTGAGATACTCTACCCGAATAAATTTGTCATGCGCAGATCGCTGAGCAAAGGTTCCGTGTGTAGGGGCCAAAGACTGTTCCGTCGAGCCTGTGTCAACATTTCCGTGTGCTCGCGAGCGAGGAGGCACACTCGAAAACACCATGGAGTGGACTGTGACTGTCTGCGCCTTCGTCCTAATTGTGCAACATTTACAATCAGGTACGTCTTAGCGTTATGAATCTAGACGTTCAAATGGTTGAAAGCTTAAGATTTGTCACAGTTTTCGGCGCTGTGGTCTTTAGTAATAGGCAAAACTGCCGTGTAGTTTGAAGCATTGTTTGCCGCATACCGCTTGCACTGTGAGTGTCGGAAAGGTCGCGACATATTTCCGCGTGCCTCTTTTTGGCTGTCACTAACATATGGATTTCTCATTGAAACAGAATGCATTTGTTATGCATACGTAATCTGTCATATTTTCATGATTTTACCATGATACAATAATCCATATTCTGAGCTGTTAGTGTGTAAGCCATTTGTTTGTATTGACACAAGGATACAGCATTTCTGTATTCTGCATGTAATACTTCTCTGCAACAGTCGGACAGTGTGCAGCTTTATAATACAATTTATATAGACTTCGAGATTTGATAATGTATTGTGTACTGTAACAGTTAAATATACTTAAATGTCTCGAATTCGCATAGAGTGTATTCCGAAATGGTCCACTGGTGAACTCATTTCACTCCTAATATGCTCTACCATCTAGGCCAATGTACAACATGGTCGTGCGACTTTGAGACCAGTGACCTATGCGGGTACACCCAGGACACCGCAAATGGCCAGGACTGGATCCGTCATTCCGGACCGACACCAACCACTAACACTGGGCCGTCAGTTGATCATACGCTGGGCACTGGTAAGAACGCATTTGTTTGTCCACGATTAGTTCTAAAGAATGATTTTGTTATAGCTTTTATATAATTGTCATGACAGATGCAACATGCAACAGCAATGTAGACACAGGAATTACTATTTTGTCCTTCATTTGATATGCTTAATGCGCATTTTGTTGAATTTGAGTTCGGGCAGAGAAACATTTAACTACACCTATATACATATATCAGAACCATGGTTGCATTCCCCCTGACACAATTGCAAGTTAAGGTTGTGTTGTATTTCCTGTTAGCATTAGGTTATTACATGTACCTGGAGACATCAGTACCTGGCAATCAAGGTGACGCTGCCCGCCTTGTCTCCTCGCCCTTCCCCGCCAACAGTGCTCCCTACTGCCTGAGGTTCTACTACCACATGTTCGGGGACAGTACGGGGACTCTCAACGTGTACATCAGGAAGCAAGGCATCCTGGGAACCCCGGTTTGGACGGTTAGCGGTAACCAGGGTAACGCCTGGCAGTTCGGACATGCGCAGATGGACGGAAGCAGCAGTTTCAACGTCGTCTTTGAGGCCGTTCGCGGAAACGGCTTCAGAGGAGACATCGCTATCGATGACGTCACTGTCAGTGATGAATGTGTTCCAATTCCAACAACAGGTAAACATTTACCTGAACAGATATATGTACTACTGTGATGTTTCATCAATCTTAAATGATGGTGATTCTGAGGAATAGTATTAACTACTGAATGACATCATTATTACAACCACATTATACATAGTGTCTATAATGAGTAATGTTGCAGCAATGTTTAATCTGGGAGTTACTGGTTATCACTAAAGCCAATGTCATTGTATCATTTTCTAGTTCTGCCTACAACAACACCATTTCCGGACTCCTCTGCATTCTGTACATTTGAACTGTCGTCCATATGTGGGTACCGACAGGACATCCACGACTCGGCTGAGTGGACATGGCACCAAGGACATACGAGTACTGGCGACACAGGGCCAGGTGTGGACCATACCTTGGGCACAGTACAAGGTAAAATCTCTTCCTACATACGAAAACGTAAATGTACTTATGCTGTCACATTTTCTCACTGCAATATTCCGTTGTATTCCTGTGTTCAACGACTGAAGTTCAATCCATGTCTAGGTCTCGCACGATGATGCACATTGCATGAATGTAACTGTTTATCCTTACAGGGCACTACATGTACTTCGAGGCATCCAACATCGACCCCGGAGTGACGGCACGCCTGTTGTCTCCTACCCTTCCCGTTATCCCCTCGTCTTCAAGCCATACCAGCTACTGCCTGACGTTCTGGTACCACATGTACGGCCTCCATATCGGCACTTTAAACGTCAACCAAAAAGAGAGAGGAGGCTCCGAAGCCCCCATATGGAGTCTCTCAGACGAACAAGGCAACGCCTGGCAACAAGGACAGGTGGGTTATGAAATTATTGCTAGGTCAGCACAAAGACTTTGATTTTCGTGATGATACTAGTATTCACTTCTTTGACATGAAGATGCAAGATTTACCCCCCCCCCCTCCCCTCCTCTGTAACTCCAGCTTCCTCTAGGTGGTACCACGGAGTCTACGGTAGTGTTTGAGGCAGTCCGCGGCAGCAGCTACAAGGGAGACATCGCAATAGATGATGTCGAAGTAATTCAATACAGAGGACAATGCGGTAAGGGATACCATAAATTACTGCACTATTGGTTTTGGTGTTGTCAATTGCTTGAAATTGTGGTACATGTATATTCACAACATCAAATCTATATATGGCAAACGGTAAAGTTGTTCTTAACGGAAAATAGTTTGGCATTGCAAATGTAGCTTATGGTACTGTTACTTTTTTTCAGAATTGATCCCTGCTTCTGCCATGGTTCCTTTACCCTCAACACCCACCATCACCACTCAATCATCCAGTACAAGTGCTTACCTATCAACGTCAGGGTCATTGTCCGCAGCAACAACAGCAGAGCAGCCGTCTACAGCAATGTCGACAGAAGTATCGTCGGCAAGCGTCACAATCGCAACTGGGACATCATTGACAACCGACCGTACCCCTCCAGCTACAACTGCAAGTGTACCTACCACACCCACCATTACTGCCCAATCATCATTCACAACCGACCGTATCCCCTCAGCTACCACTGACGGTGTACCTCACACACCCACCATTACTAGCACACGTGCCGATCTAACAACGTCAGGAACACTGCCAATAGAAACGTTAACAACAGAAGGGCAGACTACGGAAATGTGGACTACGGAGACATCATCAACAGCCTCCAACATTGTGACAGAGCCATCTACGACACCCGATAGACCGACCACCTTGCAGACTGGACCCACATTTGACGTCGAAACAACAGCAGCGCTAACGTCTACAGCAGTGTCAACAGAACCGCCATCTACCGTCAGCACCACCTCGGCAGGGCAAACTACAACTACCACCGATTCACTGCCGCTCACAGATAGAACAACTCCAGTGTCTGTAGGGCCAATGGGAACAAGTTCCACGCAGTCATCTCGCACCACTCGATTCGGTGAGCAAAATCAAATCAGCATATTTCCGTTAATGTCCATTGATATGGCGTAAAACACGCATGTGTGCTGATTGCTACCACATTTTGATGTTTCTTATGGTCATCAGAAGATTGTATAAACTTTTGATATGTAAGTGGAAGGAGTTGATACGTGTAATATTCTAATAGGTAATGTTTATACAAATTTCCTTTTTTGCTCCACACTTAAGCCATTTTGGTTTACTTCAGGAACCACGATGGGAGGCAATCTTTCAAGTGGACAAACTGGCAACAACACTGCCACGACTATCATCATAGCAGTTGCAGTGGTACTGAGTCTGGTCTTCGGAGTTGTGGTAGGAGTTGTCGCTACTGTATCCTACAAAAAGAAGTAAGAAACGTTTCCGTTGTTTTCTCCTAATTATGATTCATTTTCATTCGTGACGATTGGACCTTAGTCTCTTGAGTTGTCATCGTTTCAATGATTTTCCTCGACCCTCAACCTCCGTACATTATTGTTTGCTGCCATGTGCAACTTGGACATTCTACTAACCGACCTTGCCAATTCATTCACACAGGAAAAGGACTCGGTCGGGACACGCAAAAGTCAAGTACGTTGCTGACGAAAACAAGCCGGCTTCTGCAGATGACTCCTTCCCAGGTGTCGTCGACGGAAGGGTGGAATTTGAGAACCCCACGTTCGAACACATCTACGAGGAGTTACCAAACGTGGTGGCAAATCACACAGCGTCGCGGCAAGAACAAAGACCGCTGTCGGCTATCTCGTCTGTACAAAACGAAGTCTACATGGAGATAAACGACCACGAAGTTTGCGGCGCAAAAGCTTCATCACAGCAGCCCGTGCCAGTTAGTAAAGGCGACGGTCACATTTCTTCACCGGTTAATGCGCTGTTTCCATCTCCACGTCAAGATCACCAAGGGGTCAGACACCATGGTGGCCACCGCAAGAGAAACGCCGAGGACGGATATAACAGGCAAGGGTACCGAAGAGATCACTGGGGGACAGAGAACGACTACCTTCCGCCGGTGAATGATCCAAACGTGCAGCACCTGAACCACTCGCGGAGCAACGATGAAGACTATGAACGCATACGTACTGACCCCTACCAGAACTTAAACCCACGTCATCCTGCACATTACGAAGGCCTTCGACCGGATCACTATCAGAGACTGAATGCTCCTGGGCGTGCGCCAAATCCGGACGGGTATCAGAGTCTTCGTCAAAATCAGTACCAACATTTGAATGCTCCTGAGCGCGCGCAGAATCCGGACGGGTATCAGAGTCTTCGCTGAACGGCCAACCGCGTTCACAAGACGACCGTCATCCTTAATACATGCAAAGCTAGACCTGAGACAAAACTAGTCTGATATCATGTGAAGTTGACTAGGGAAGACTGTGAGTGGGGGGTTCACGGCTTCTTGGACGCGATGGAAGGATACACAGTGGTCTTTGGATAACCACTTGGTTATGTCGTGTAATATAATAGTTTGATGCTGTAAATAGCTTCAACTGATCGATCGCCGAGTCGATAAGCAAACAATCCTATGTTGATATGTCACCAAGTTAACGTTTTCTCTTAGTTTCTTATAGGGGTAATTTGCAATTTCACCTTAGCCACACATGCCTTATGTACGAATACATTTTGAAATAACTGTTTTATCGTTTGATTTTCTAATGTCAAAAGTTAGGTTTCAAAGTCGTCAGCAAATACTAACAGAGCAAAGTCGCATGATTGTACTTTTGTTTGATCATGTTACCAGCATATATGACCACTAACACTGTTGCCATGATACTACGTGACCATTTTTGCCATATCTGCCATTTCAGCTTTGTTTCATGATTACATGTTGGATTTGCATTGTTTATTTGTGTCGCGTGTCCTTTTTCCTCATCCTTTGCCTAAATACTGTCAGTATATGACGTCGAACGCCAACTTTCCTCAGTCACTCGAACCACAGTTGTTGCCCAGAAACTTCTGTCATGCCTGACCTGAAAACGTCATCCACAACACTGAAATGGTACTAAAATACGACAGTGTTGCCGACTGCTATGTATTGTGGTAAATATCAGATCGTACACGTATGCAGACAGTCGACAAGTAGTAACTATGTAAACGAATGCTGGTTGTTAGGGTTGGTGATAAGCTACCGGTCGTGTTTTCAACTTACCTGACAAGTACTTACATACATCTTACCTGCCAACCCGGACACCAATCACGTGTACGTATTCAGGTGAGCCAAGATATACAGCCTTTTATCAACTAGAGATATGCTGAGAGAGTATTTGTGCCTCCTGAAAGCGCCAAATATTGACTTGGTTCTTACAGGTGGTAAAAGCTGAAAGTGCCAAATATTGACTTGGTTCTTACAGGTGGTAAAAGCTGACAATAAAGCACCAAGTGTCAACATGAATAACCATGGATAGTTTACCACACACTGTAGCTTTTAGAATACTTAGACTAAAGATTTTAAGCTTATAGGTCAATGTTTACTTTAGACTAACATGCGTGCATTTACCAAGTTACAGTACTTGCTACTACGCTCAACAGATGTTTGCCTATGCAGAGGCGAGACTTTGCCTTCTCAATTTTATTCCTCATTGGAAGTGTTCCAAAATGAGTCACCAGATTTACTTTACGAATTGCCAAGCTCAACAAATATTGAAAGGCGCAAATAGCCTATCGGTGAAGCTTTTTCTTTGGAATTTTCTTCCTTGTTGGGACCTTGCCAGGTTCCAAGAGGTCCTTTGGGACATTTTAAATGTTTTAAATTTAGAAGTCAGCGATTACACGTGTATTAGCTTTCAAACGATGAAATAGTGTCAACGCTCTAATGTGATATCGATGGCATATCTAAAAGCTCAGGTCACATATTACACTTTAGTGAAATCGAGTGAAGTGTTTAGTTAGTTTGCCCTATTTCTTCATACACTGACTTGAATTCATCATTGTAATATTAATGTCAAGTTTATACATGAATCGTGAAATTTTCTCATTCCCTATATAATTCGTATTCGCATTCGTATTCAGCTACAAATTAAATTTTTTAGCCTCTCCTGATTCTACAGATCGAGTCATGAAGTTGAAAGGCTTATTGTTGTCGCTTGTCGAGATAACCTGCTTTGAACACCATCACTACCGTACCCAACTTTGCCGTCCTGTATCTCAGCTCAGTTGTGCTATGTTGTGCCTAGTAGTAGTTGCCATTAGGGGCTCAAAGTTTGGGATTAGGCGTTGAGCCATGGAACAGGTGAGTGGTCAGGAAGGCACAGCAACCTCACCTGTTTTAATTGTGATATACTGCCCTTTGAACACTCAGCACACATGTGCGATATGTAAACATTAAGGCAGGAGTCTTGCGCAGGTTGGCGAAGTCGGAGTCAGTCGTCACCATGCAGCCTCTGTGGCGGCGCGTTTTTCTGGTTTCTCTGCTGTTACAGAGATTATTGTCCGGTGCAGTTTCCGACGACATCGGTGGGTCATACTACTGGGACCACACCATCAGTCTGTCGGGAAGTCCGTACAACGTTGCCGATGAAATCATCGTCGGTGAGGCGGCGACCCTGACGGTCGAGGCGGGGGTTCGGTTGTTGTTCCCGGAGGGGGTCGGCATGACCGTGCTGGGACGGCTGATAGCTGTGAGTGGTTGTGGCAAAATTCATACTTTTAATATGTAGGAGTTTAAGATCTGGTAAAGAGCGAACGCCTAGCCCAGTCCACAGATCTGCGTTTGTTGGTATTTACACACACGTCTAGTTGATGTTTTTCTCACTTGACACAATCTAATCCAAGTTTGCTCTTTTTTCATATTTGCTTTGATAGCTGGTAACGTCGAATTCTCTGGAGTAATCACAAGCTACTGTTTTTACCTATGTTACATGATCTACTGAGACACGAAAATCTTTCGCTTTGTACTCAGTATTATTGAGTATTCTTGGCTAATCAGTTGTAAAGTAGCGTTACGAAAGATTCTAACTAATCAGAGTTTGTGTGCACCACTGTATACGTACCGTTTCTGTTCAATTCCCGTTCCCTTTGTCTTGTATCATCCTACTAGTTTTATGTAAGTGTGTACCATACAAGTTTCCATCGGTTTTTGATAGGTACAACCAATGCCAATGCTTGGAACTCGTGGCTTCGAGTTGAATCCTTTCCAAATGCGGAGAGCTTCAATGTACCCGTCACAACCTAACTATTTTAGTTGTAAATCATTATTATTAATTGTAAATCGTTCTGAACGATCTTTTCTGACGTTCACACGACCTTACACGGTTCGCAATGACAGCAAGATTGAACCAGTTGAGTCAGCTTATTGATTAATCAAGCATGACAGTGAGAGAGAATCGGTAGAATCTGATCATTAGTATAGCTGTGCATTGCATTGATGTTAAAACGTAAGTTATAATTGCGCTTATTGTACTAGTATATAAATCAATATTGTATATAAATTACTAATTGATATTGGCACTCGTAGTATATTCCTTTGTTGAGGGGGCACACCCCAGTTTATTTGGCGTTTCTATTCGAAGCTGCACACCCTCAAATCTAGCGACCGTCTCTGCCGTGGAATAATTAGGAACCACGGAACTGTATATGGGACGAAAGTATATCTCTTCAGCTACAAGACCAGCTGAGTTTGGTTTCTTCAACCTTTTTAAGTTTGGTAAAATCAACGGAAAAAACACTATTTTCACTCCAAAATTAATGCACAAAATTGCGAATTTCCGCGTAGGATAATCCCATAGAAAAACATTTTTCCGGCAGAAATGATTGATGCTGGCGAGTAAATTATAAAGAAAATTCTAGTACTGAATTTTTTTAAACCGTCCACAGCGCGAGGGGTTGCAAATCCACTCATAGGAAGGCGCGGAGAGAAATCTAGGTCAAACGGGCGGATTACGAGTACACTTGGCGCGCAAGGATACCCGGAAGTAAGGTTCGGAGCCAAAAGAAATTTCACCTTAAAATCACCATTTCTTACACTCTTCAGCCATGTTAATGTTTAATGATATTTCGTGACAGTTTATGAGAAATGTCACCTCAAACTTGGACCCTTTTTTGAACTGGGGTGTGCACCGTTGAGTGTGTTCAGGCCGAATATGTGTAAGTGTAGACGTAAGTTTCGAATTCCATGGTTACGGTTGGTTGGTTGGTTGGTTGGTTGGCTGGTTGGCTGGTTGGCTGGCTGGCTGGCTGGCTGGCTGGCTGGCTGGCTGGCTGGTTGGCTGGCTGGTTGGTTGGTTGGTTGGTTGGTTGGTTGGTTGGTTGGTTGATTGGTTGGTTGGTTGATTGGTTGGCTGTTTGGCCGCATGCCTTTATATGGTTTAGCGCGATAACTAAAAAAGACATGGATGGATTGCCATGAAATTTGGTAGGTGGGTAGTTCTTGTCCTATCAAAGAAATGACTAGATTTTGGACGCCATGGTGGTTTTCTTCGGTACTGCAGCAGAACTTGGAGATGCTTAGCCCAGGATATTTTGTCAAGCAGATAGTTCTTTGCACGCTTTGGTGTAGGTTTGGCCCCTAGCAGTATTTTTTTGGAACTGCAGGGAACAATTTTGGTTGCAACTTTGGAAAATTCTAACTCATGAGGGGGTTCATTTTAGGCTACCTTTACCTTACCGACCATGTCCTAACCATTTCGGAACCATTCCTCGAACCAGTTCCGAATCAGCCCAGAATATGCTTGTCAATCTTGCAGCTGCCCGACCATTTTGATATCCTAAGACTGCCGACTCCGTCCTAACTATGTTTTCCAACTCTGCCCCAAATGAAAATTTGCAGCATCGGGGGTCCACTAGGAACAATCATGCCATGTACTGAAAATTGAACTTCGTGGCGTTCTTGGAATTTGCTTTCTTCTTTGGCATGGTGTCGCCTCTTTTTAACACTTAACCGTACTTTTGGCATGAAATTAATTTTAACAGCCTGAATTTATAGGGCTGGGTAGGAACCTGGTCTTTAATGATGAGGTTTGGGGGCGTTCCGGAGTGAATCGGTGTGGTTAGCCGATGGCCAGTCGGTGTTCGGCTGCCGCTGAACCGTACCCTAATTCGCCGAATGCCAGCCGACCCAACCGAACGCTAGCCGACCATGGTTGGCAGGCATTTGACTAGCGTTCGGGAGGCCAAATTCGTGAATGTGTGACAGGGGCTTTACTGTCCAATATCTTGAAGCTCCCCTATATATGCACATGTACAGGTTGGCACACCTGATGATAGAATCGTATTTGACCGGAAGAGGAATCCTCCCTACGTTCAAGCGAACAACGTGACACGTGACCACGACATCCGGCTGCTGGGCCCGACCGTGTTTGAGGGGCGTGTCCAGGTCAAACTCAACGGGACCTGGGGTTCTCTCTGTCTACAAAATCAATGGTGGAGGAGTTCAGAAGCAACTGTGAGTAGGCTTCAGCGCTATCCTTTCTTGTATTGAGAAATGAATGAATGAATGAATGAATGAATGAATGAATGAATGAATGAATGAATGAATGAATGAAGGAATACAATTACAAGGGGTGTAACTTTACATGTCCATAACACGAGAAATGAAAATCGCGAGTTCCACTGCCATACCGTGGAAAGTCACAGGGGGTTCAAAAACCTAATCATTTCCAGACTTTGGCACAACCTACCAACATACCAAATATCGTTCAGATCCAATCCACGACTTCTCGAGTTATAGTGTTCACACACTGGCACGGGCACACACACACACACACACACACAGGTACGGGCACACACAGGTACCCCCCCCCCAAAAAAATAACCTTATTGGCAAAGGTAAAGTCACAAATTTAATTCATTTAAACCTTTTTAAGGTGGTTTGTCGGCAACTGGGGTTCGCAACAGGGCGAGTGGAGAACAAGTACCAGTTTGGCAAAGGACGCATGGCTGTGAGCAACCTTGAGTGTCTCGGCAATGAGAACAACATTTACGAGTGCAACCACGACAACCTTGATTTGCCACCTCAGTGTAGTGAGTTTTGTTTTGTATTGTATTGTAAATTGAATTTTCATATCATTTTACCATTGAGTCATAAAAACGCATAGTTGTTTTCTAATCTCTCTGATACCACTAGAATAAGACTTTGCGACACACGCTGCGACTACGCGACCCAGCCTTTATGCGCACACAAGCGCCCATCAAAAATTTCCAAGAGTGAACTACATGCTTTCCGCGTGGACGTCGACTCGGGATACTCGGGATAGACAATACTAAGTAACTCCTTTACTATTTTAATGTTTCCAATTAACGAGATTGCCTATCCCAATGTGTCCAACAAGATCCCGACCTGTCATCAGTGTTTAGCTATACATAGATTGGAAACCCGGCCTTCGGCAAGACAGGATTTGTTGAAAGAAAAGCTTATGATAATCCACACATTCAAATACTGTAGTTTAGATCAGTTTCTAATTACTTCCTTTCCTTTGTAAAAAGGCCAAGGTCGAAACCGAAGAGACCTCGGTGTGGTGTGTGAGGGATTGAGTCACAATGGGAACATCTATTGGAAGGGAATAGACGTTCGTGCTACCAATGAAGCTATGAAGTCCACACTACAAAACGTGGATATCTTCTATGCCGGGGGAGCGAACCCAAACGCAGAAAGAGCCGCCATTATCAGCACATCAGTCCCTCCCCTGCTACACAACGTCAATATCAAGTACTCTGGAGATGCAGCTATAAGAGTCAATGACTCAACGTCGTCTTTTCAAATGGAAAATTGTGGCATCTCAGAGAATCACGGAGTCGGACTGATAGTTAAGAATCCTTCAGCAAACGTGACCATTGTCTCCAGTACATTTAGTAAGAATTTCCCAGTCGGGATGCAGGTAACCGGTGGGCACACAGGATCAGACCTCCTTATCACTGACAGCATATTTGAACAGAACAGCGGTGTCGGTCTGATGCTGTCTGAAGTCCCGATGAACGTGGACATACGTCAGTCTAACTTCAGTTCAAACTCCCATTACGGACTCAGTGTGTTCACCACAACCCAAGTCAGCCTTGTGACCGACGGCTGTCACTTCGATCACAACGGTCTGGACGGTTTCCATGCCCGATATCTCGGGGTGTCGGGTGACAGAAGTAACACAGTCTTGCGTAATGGCGTGGTGGAAGGTAATGTTGGAAGCGGATTTGCTCTAGAAATAGAATATCAGGAATATCAGAATATCCCATCGTCACCAATCTTCGACCATGTCATCATAGACCAGTCAGATTTCGCCTCGAACGAGAACGGCTCAGTCAGGGTAACCGTGGACAACTCTTACGAAGATCGTTTTCCGGTCGTCGAAGTCACAGGCGGAGCCTACCAAGACAACATGGCGACGGTTATCGAGGTTGGTGGGACTCAAGCTGAGGTTAGAATCCAGGACAGTGAGTTTGACTCAAGTCAGTGCGGCAGTAAGCCGGTCATTCATGTACATGGGTACGACAAGACTGTGAATATAACAGGGAACAGGTTTGTTCGTAATGCCTGCCGACGTGTGGTGCTATTCAACACGACCGATGTGTCTGCTGACTTCCATCCTCTTCATGTAGAAGAGAACATTTTTGAACACAACGAGTATGAACCACAATCTCTGGCACACATCTCTGACCCTCTGAATGAGTACTGTACCATCGAGATAGTAGGGTCGGGAGAAGAGCACACCGTCACTCAAAACTCGTTCCTCAATAGTCCAACTGGTTTAGAACTTTGCAGCAGTGACGGCTCTCATCCCCTGGCTATAACTCAGATCAAAGCAGAAAACAATTGGTGGGGAACTGCAGATATTGATTCAATAAAAGAGAAGATATTTGACAACAATGATTGGTACAGTGGAGGCCTGGTCAGGTTTTCCCCGTACCTAAGCTCTCCCTCAGGCAGTCCTACAAGCACTGTGGGCACAGAAACCATGACAGCCTCGTCGTTAGGCGGTCGTCTGAATGGAACATTGCGGCTAACCACCCCCGATAGCCCCGTCACCCTGACACGAGACCTCATCATCTTACCGGACTCTGTTCTCAGTGTTGAGGCAGGAGTTGAGTTCCGTGTTCAGGAACGTGTTGGCATCCTCAATCTGGGGAAACTGCAGTTAGACGGACTGCCATCAAGTCCTATAACCTTCAACGTCACTCGTAAAACCGTGCCGAACCGAGCAATTCCAGTTCGGTTAACGGGAGGCTCAGGGCCCGGGGAGGGGCGACTAGAAGTGCAGTACTCCGGGCAATGGATTCCTGTGTGCTATGATCGGTACAGCGAGTCCGCCACTATCGCCTGCCGGCAGTTGGGGCTCGGGTCGTACAAGTCTGCAACGCATAGCTACGATTCCTCCAACCGAAATTGGCTCACTGTCCGATGTGATGGATCCGAAGACAACATTGGGGAGTGCAGCTTATATCATACAAGTAGATGCGGAAGTAACATTTACGTGTACTATTACCTGAAGTTAACTTGCGATTCCACTCCCGGCTGGGGAGGCATCGTCTCGATCTCGAGCCAAACTTTTGAACCACATAATGTAAATCTTTTCCATGTGGGACATGTACATCTACACAAGGCTCCTGGTCTTTCCATACAAGGATCTCAATCATCAAACTCAATAAACAACGTCTTGATCGATCACTTAGTAGGGGGCCGAACTGGGATAGAGTACTTAGATTTGCAACCTTCCCAACCTACCACTTTACATGGAGTTACACTGGTCAATTCTGGTACCAGGGAGGGTGTTGGAATCGATGTTAAAGGGCTCGACTCTCTATCGTGGTGGGAACTCGAAGCAAATGCTGGCAGCCGACTTGTTCCTATGCTAAAAATGTGCTCATCACCGAGAGATCTTCTCCTTTTGGAAGGACAGTCAAGGTGGATCGTAAACAGCATCAAGAAAAACACCAGGCTTCAATGTCATAAAACTGTGAGGGTCCCAGACGGGCATACCATTCGTCTTACGGTAACAAAGAGTAGCTTTAGCAACCCGTCATCAAGGAATAGCCTGACTATTTACGATTCTCACCAACAAGATGAAACTTTCAAAGTAGGGTCACTGGATGTCCACAACCAAGTCAGCTCTTCTGGATCTGCACTAGTATTCACATCAACTAACTCCGTCATGACGTTATCTTTAAAGGCTTCTTCCTCACAGAATGCGTTTTTTGCGGGAAGGTTGGATGTAATGGGACCAGGCAATAACGGCAACGACCTAGGCAATATGACGGCAATCCGTATATCAGACTGCAGTGCAAGGAACTTTGACTATGGTATTCAGATAAAACAGACTGAGGCAAACATCAAAATGTTCAACATATCTGTTGCCGATAACAATCGTGGGATAAGAGCTTCCAGCATAGATGGTACCATAAGCATGAGCAATTCACTAATCCACTCCAACAGCTATTATGGCATGCTTTTGGAAAACATTCAGGGGACAGCTTCACTGGCAGACGTAACTGTGACAGAAAATGGAAGGTCTAGTTACAGCAGTATCATCAATGCCTTTGGAGTAAAAATACAACATACAATCTCACAACTCGGTTCATACTACCTTTCAAATATAACTTGTAGAGACAATACATGGTATGGCATAGATCTGGATCTGTCCTATGACACAGAGATGCGAATTTACGACAGTCATATTGAAGAAAATGGAAGAGGAGGGATACGAGTTAACTCAAGAGAGACCCAGTCAGATCAACATCCCATTGTTGGTATATACAACACCAATATCACGGGAAATGAACGGTATGCACTGCAGGTGACAGGCAAGCTGAGGGCACTTGATTTTGTAGGCAATACAATGTCTGCAAACAGATGCCCGTATCAACCAGCCATGAAAGTGGAGGGTCAAGCACAAAATCTCAGTTTTACGTCTAATACCGTAATCAACAATAATGCTAGGGAAATTCTGTCGGTTGCTATGACCAGTTTGCTCCATTCCTTATCCCCTTCTGAAATTCGAATTGACAGCAACATATTTGAGGGGAATTTTTTTGATCCATCAATGAGTGACGAAAATCAATATGAGCAACATCCTGACAACACGTCCTGTACCGTTGAGATTGGAGGATATAAACAAAGCATCAAAATACACAGCAACGTTTTGGACAATCCTGACATGGACTATACCATTTGCAGCAGGGTTCGTGCGGACACTCCTGATTGGACTATCGGGGCAAGTCACAACTGGTGGGGAACAGCTGTTGAAACTGAGATTCGGGACAAGATTCATGACTTTGACGATTGGAACGACCGAGCACCTGTAGATTACTTCCCGTACCTGACAGGACCGGACTTATCCTCTCCACCTGCTGACCCCTCCAGCCGAGATGTTACCATGGCAAATGACAACATCGGAGGCAGGCTGTATCACTCACTGCATCTTCAAAAGGATGGAGGTCCTTACTTCATCAAATCAGATTTAACTGTGTTGATAAACGTGTCGCTTACCATAGACCCAGGTTCTACTATTCAGGTGCACCCATGTGTTGGTCTGTTGAACCTGGGTTCTCTTCTTGCACGTGGAACAAGTGCAGAGCCAATCCACTTCGACCTTGCGGACGTCCTCGTTCACCAACCCCAGGTCCGGCTGGTGGGAGGGCGGTTCCCTTGGGAAGGTCGCGTGGAGGTGTTCTATAATGGAGAATGGGGGACTGTATGTGGGAACGGCTACTGGAGCACACGAGAGGCAAACGTTGTTTGTCGTGAGCTTGGATACGGTCCTTATACAATATATCACACGTACTCTTTTGGACAAGGATCAGGACCTATATGGATTGGTCGTTATAGCAGTAGGCCAGACTGTACTGGGAATGAGATGAGTATATTCAACTGTCTTCGGAGCACACCTGGTAATGTGGACTCCTCCTTCTGCACGCATGCTCATGATGTTGGGATAAGATGCAACATGAACACCCCGGTGTCGCCTCGTCCAAGGTGCATAATGGCAAAATGGGGAGGGATTACATCCAAATCTGCAACAACAGCGGTCCTTACAAACTTGAAGTTCAGCAACACGGGCACTCTGCACAGGCGTTCACACGCAGCCATATCCAACCAAGAAGCGCAGGGAACTACAGACATTTCTAACATTGAGATATCTGAGTGTACGGGAACTGGAATACAGCTACTAGGAGGCAAACTCGCACAAAGTGTTGATAGTGTAAACATTTCTGGTTGTGACGGACATGCTGGTGTTACTCTCGCAGGCAGAACGTCTAGTGTTACGACATCAACAGATGTACGTATCACTGACAGTATCTTTACAGCAGGGTCATTTGAACTCACACCACACAGTATTTTAGGCTGTTTGGATAATCCTGGTTTGTTTATGAGCCTATGTGCCGAGGAGTCCGATCTCCATCTTAAGAATGACATGTGTTTTATGGAGACAGGAAGAACGAGCTCAACATGCTATAGACACCTGTACGCAGATGAGGGTGTTACGATTGAACTCACTGTCTCATTCGTTAACTTTCTATCTTCCTCATCGAGATTACGGATCTTTGCCGACAGAAGCCAAACTCAACAAATTGGACAGGTTACTCGATCGGACAACGGCAAAACGTATATCCGGTTTGTCTCACAAACAATGATGAGTCTGCAGTACGCACGGTCCTACTGGGATGACCAACAGATCTTTGGAGAGGTTATGGTTTATAACGAGACAGATCGGACTAAGTACATCATTGAGAACAACATGGTGTATAATACCACTGGGACAGTCATCAATGTGACCGCAGCAAATGGCGCAATCTACGATATCCAACGTAACACGTTTCTGCGAAATCAACCCAATACTGATGACGACCAACAAGCTGTGATCAGTAGTGTTCTAATTGACTCCTATATCAATGTCAGAAACAACTACATGGCAAACAACATGATGAAATGCTTGTCTATTGATCTGACAAACCAGCAAGCTGGAAACATAACGGTTCTGGACAACCATTTCTTCAGGAACACCGCGAAGTCTACAATAATGGTGACGGGAAACAGCCACAGTGCGACACAGCAACCCATATTGATAGACAGCAACGTCTTCTCAAGCAATGACGTCGGTGTCACAGAGAGTATTATAATGTTTGAAAACGTCGATGGGCAGCTGAACAACAACGTTTTCTTTAACAACTCGGGACATCACGTTGTAACGTGGGAAGGGCGAAGCAGAGCGAATAGCCTGCAGAGTTGTGAGAACAATCTGTTCTACGACAACATCGGACTGACTCCGGGGGAGAAGTACACCGTAGTTGTCTCGGGCCGAGATGTTCAACTGCACGGGAACGTCCTCACCAACCCCGCGAACGACGCTGAGCTGGCAACGTCGAACAGAACCGGGTATTACCCCGTAAATGCTACCCACAACTGGTGGGGATTCAACTCTACGTCTGACATATCCTCAAGAATCAGAGACAAACACGATCACGAGGACAGGCCAGAGGTGCACTTCCAACCATGGATACAGGTGGAACTAACTAATGGTAAGCTAATTTTTTATCTTTCTTTTATCTTGTATCTTAGTCTTATCTTAGGAAACCGTTCGGTGACGTCGTGACGTTCATTTACCATATTAATCAACGGTTGTACATCCATTTTCAATTTCAGCAGCACAGCCATTTTGCTGATTAAGAAGCTATTGATATAGAATAAAAACGTGCTCAAGTTTCTGCGTTGATGACATTTGACTCACTGTTACTAGAAAATGCAGTGTGATAACAGTGTGGATACTAATAAACTCTCAACATTTTAGTCTTAACGTTAAGGTATGGATAACGTACTACCTAATGTTCTGTTGTTGTTGATGTTATGTTGCGTGTTATAGGTCCATGTGGCTTGGGATGGACCTACAGCAAGACCTTCAGCGCCTGTTACAGATACATGGGCGGAGCACAGTCTTGGGACGGCGCTGTACAATCCTGTCAGGTGTGTGACGTATCGCAACCTTAAAATGGTTATTTGGTTGTAGCCGTTGCATTCAGTATATCACGACTATTTACTGAGTATAGTAGCGCTGTTGTAGAAATTTTATGGCAGTTTGTGCTGTACAATATTTCAGCACGTTGTGGTGATAACTCCGTTATACCACATGTAACCTTGAAAATAAAATGACGTTGACAGGAAAATTCGTCACTCTCTCCCTTAGGCCCAGTATTCTGTACTGTCCAAGAGGTTCGCTGGTTTAGAGAGAGAATTTATTGACAGCTTGCTGATCGCACGAAATGTAGACTTTGCACCGGATATGCCTGTCTGGATGGACAAACAAATACAGGTACTAGGTAACGTGCTGAAGTTGCTGGTATTTCTTGATGATTCTAACATACATTCGCCTGCCTCAAACATTTCTAACTACGCAAACCACAAAGTAATGTCCACTTGCTTCAATCATTCTACGTACATTTTACACAAACATTCTGTACGTAGGGGGATATGTGGCTTCCAGTATAACTTTGTCTTTTCCCCCCTACCTTTTGTCAACAGGGGCTGGAAAATGCAACAACGAACTGTAAATCTTATCTTCGAGACTCCCAAGAGGCTGTCCAGGATGTATCGTGCAACTCTTTTTTCCCCTACATCTGCAAGAAACCTATTGGTAAGATCACAATTGTCTGCTTTGTTTTTTAGTTGATAATTATGATACAATTCTGTTAGAACATTCTATGGTGTGGTGATATAGATCTTGCATTGTCTTGTCCATTTGCTGTATCTCATTAACGTATCAATATGTACGTGAATTGATTTACCCGAAAAAAGTTATGAAAATGGATGGATGTGGGTAGCCTATTCAAGTCTTTGGCCGATTCTGTACTCAGAGATCTGATTGTATCTTATATATATATATATATATA